CGCCGTGTAGTTGATATGCTGGAATTTATTAACATCCCCAATGAAACAGGTACAATATTCTGTTTTAAGTAGAAACAAAAAGGCAACAGAAAATTCAACTGATGTATGACTTCCGATTTGCCCATTGCATTCACAATTTCAGACATAGCGGGAATCAGATTTTACTGGTTACAGCCCCGTAAAACGGCCTTTTCCCCTCTACGTGCCATCACCTCCAAAGGGAGTGAAGCACTTCAGCAAGCCAAATACCCTCTCCCAAAAGAGCAATGTTAAATAGAAGAGGTGAAAAAGAAAAAGCCCTATAACAGAAAAACATCCAATGGAGAAACACACACTTGTGTGCTGCAGTTCTTCAGTCAGTTGCGTCTATGGTTGCGCTTCTTACGGAAGGGAGAGCCCTGCATTCCTCTCAGCCTGCAACTGCACGCTGCCACTGCCATTTTTAAGCTAGCACAGCTACTTCTGGGGCTGCCTGGTGAACTAGATGAGGGAATTATTTCACCTGAGGTTAGACCTGACCAGATAAAGATGCCTGCTGGATGAATTTCCCGAGCTTTTGATGCCAACGCAGATTTGAATTAAACTGATAAAATTGTGATAAAAGATTTATTTCTAGCACAGGGCAGAAAATAGACAATAAAACCCCATAATATTAGATCAACCACCTTTTAATGAATACTGAAAGAAAAAAATCCATTTTTGAAAGCTCCATATCTCATAATGTAAGTGAATCCTTTATACCTACAACTGGTTCGTAAGTAAACCCTACCTTTCCCTGTTATTTATAGATTATATACCTCCTCCTTCCCACTTTTAATTTAACAGTGCTTTATGCAACTGACTTCCCAAGGAAAGCAGATTAATAATGAGCCATATATGACTCAAAATACCATATATGAACATTCTTTTACCTTCATTTTCAACATAAACTATTATGAAAAAAGATCTATTTACCTTCTGAAAAAGGACCCACCTGTGCTTTCCAAAAGGAAAGCCCCGAGATGAGGGAAAACACCAAAACAATTAAGAATACTGCTCTGTATCTTACCATATATATTCAAGTGGCATGCAGTCATCTTTCAGTAACTAAGACTTTTTACTGACAACTTCACGCTATGTTATTTAAGAATCCACTTCATTCTAATGATAACTTGTGTCCGTAAAGGTGTACAACACCATGTCTGGAGTCCAAGTAACCAAGTTTATATGATTTTTATGAACAAAAATAGGAACTAGGAGACCTCTTTTGTTTATAAAGCCATAGTAAGTTACATCAACTGTAATACTATACTGATTAAAGCTCATCTTTTCACAAACATAAGCAAGCAGAGAATTAACAATGTCAGTCATGGGCAGAACAACATCCAACGCTTGTAAAATTCCTTCATCTATCTGGAAAATTAACTTCCTTCACACCCAGGTTTGCATAGGATACTTTATGGATAAACATATATTGAGTCAGAGGACTGTTCATCATTGTCTTATGTTGTATGAATGCTTCTGAAAATTCGTATTTGCTATAAGATTAGCTTTAATTTGGACTACACGTACTATTTTTTTTTCTATGGCACAAAGAACAGAAGACTTTAGAACTCCCACGACACCTGGTGGAACGTGTTTGCAGGCGAGGTTTAAAAGAAAATGGACTTTCCTTGCCAATATCCTCCACACTGTTCTGTCAAAAAGAGCATTCTCTGGAGAAATAACAGTTGAGAGATGAATTCCACAAATTTATAAGTATACACTCCGCATGTCACTTCAGCCCACAAAGAACTGAAAATTTAGAGAAGTATATTTAAGTGGTCTCCTAGACTAGGATGACTAGAAACTGAGCTATGCTTTCTTGTCACATGCTTGCATTTTTCCCACTGGGCCTCTGACAACGGCACTTGATAAAAGGAATGCACAGTTTAGCCTCTTCTTTCAGAAAAGGTGAGGGATACCTTCTGCATTGTTTGAATAGCACTGCTATCTTAGAACTCCTTTTCACATGGGGAAATACGACTGAACAGCCAGGTGTTTCTTCATCCGCCTCTTCCAGTTTTCTTCTTACTGGAAAGGTTTGCTTTTCCTCACGTAAAATCTCTTTTGAAATAATTAATGTTTTCAACCTGACAGTAATTGTCCTCTCCTTCCTACTTACCGTAAATTTCTTAAGTATTAATTATTTCATATTATTTAAATTTGTATCTACATATTTTTACTTCTTGGTCAAATTTAAACAGCAGCACTCTCTGAAAAGCTGATATTCAACTCTACATACTGCACACTTCTGCATGAATGCAGTCATGCTCCAACAGGGCAGTTCCTTGAACAAAGGAACAAGAACTTGGTATAAATAAAAAAATTTAAGAAAGAAATTTGCATTTAGCAATTGTTCATTTAGCAAATTCAGCACTCTATTTAAAAAGAAAATTGAAGCATGAGCTTTACACAGAAATAGTAGCTTATTAAATTTGCCACTGAAGCCAGTGGCAAAATATTTAGCAAACCTAATACTGAATTACAATCATTTTTTGTTTTTTAAAAATTAAAATATTCACAAGCCATATTTAAATTACCTCATTATTTAATTTAAAAGTCTATTATTCCATCCTTTTTTGGGAAATATTTAGCACAATGTGTACGTTTTTGTACAACTCTGCCATCAGAATCATCTCAAAGCAAGCAGAGCACATGAATCTTTTTTAAATCAATTTTTAAATATAAAATTTGATACTTGATGCATACTCAAAATTAACAGAGTACAGAATATGCATTTAACTCCAAAAACCTCAGAAGAACTTGCATGCAAATACTTATAAATAAATTGAATTGGATCTCCTATTTAACGGGGTACATACAGCACATAATGCTATCCCGCAATAAGCCATTAAAAACTATGTATTAAAACTATAATAAATATATTAAATTGTGTATATAATACCACAGTATCAACCGTATCTTGACCGTATTTAAGACAGGAGAAGACAACTTACGGGTACGATTCTGGAAGCTGCTGAGCTATTTTATAAGCCGTGGGGTCCCTGTCTAGCTGTGACCGCCGGCTCCAAACGTCATATCAAGGAAACGCTGTTGAGTAAGAAAGACAACACCGTTACCTTAGAGTAGACAAGTGATAAACCAGCTGTTGATTGAAAGCTTCTTTCGTTAATCTGTCTTACACACTGGAGGAAAACATACCATTCAATATAGTCACAATGCCTTTTTGGAAATATTTTCCGATTTTGTGCAAAATTGCAATCATGTCAGAGTAATCTTTTTAGGGGTTGCGACCTGCCCCCCAGTCCTTCCAGAACAAAAGGACAATAATTTGGTGCAACCAACTGCAGCTTCGTACTCTTGCCATGTGTTGGCATCCTGAGTTTAGAGGAAAGCCACGTGTTTGACTGCTTTGTTTGGACTTTCTCACTTTAATGGATACAAAGATATATAGGACATGGGACTGCAGCAAGTGATCAGCACCATCTGCTTTGTGAGAGTGTCTCTAAAAGGAAAGCTGAAGTATATCAATTAAAGAAATAACACTATCATAGTTTCATACCACAGATCAAAGTGTGATGGCAGCACAGGCACATATATATCCTGACTGGAACTAACCTGACGAGCACAGAAAACACAAGTTTTCAAGACACAGTACCATTGATTTCGGTTTCCCTTTGCAAGGACAAAGCTATGTATTTAGGTTACTACGATACGCTGAAGCCCAATCCTGCTATATCTTCTCTACCATCATTACATGTGTTAATTAGATGCAGAATAGCATAGGCATACCCACCTTCATAGCAGCGCCATTTCAATTGCTGGTGTGACATTCTCTATGGGCTTGAGTAACACCTTTTGATAAACAACATATATTTCCTTGCTTCTGAGGAATTCTTACTGCCCATGAACATATACCAGGTCTGGTTTTTTGGATACACAGACTAAGACTGGAAGACCTTTAGTAATACTAGGCAGACACAGCCATCCTCTCCAGTCTTCTGGACTAAAAATGATGACGCATTCATAGAATCATAGAATTGCCTAGGTCGGAAGAGACCTTTGAGATCATCGAGTCCAACCATCAACGAAACACTGCCAAAACCAGCACTAAACAATGTCTCTAGGCACGATGTCTACCCATCTTTTAAATACCTCCAGGGATGGCAATTCCACCACTTCCCTGGGCAGCCTGTTCCAATGTTTGATAACCCTTTTGGTGAAGAAACTTTGAATGAAGTCTGACTAAAACACACATAGGTACAGATTCAGCACAAGTAGAGTAAAATTGGGTATCGACATTCCTATAAGCAAGTCTCTCAGAACTCAGAGTTCCTGAAAATAAACGGAAATTTCACATTCCTGCCATAAAAAACTTCACAAAAAAACCCCAAAAAAGGCTTCCTGTCTCTACTTGAGAAGGGTTGCAGGGTCATCAAACTGCACACAGAGAGAAGGAGACTTCAAAACACTGGTTAACTCCCAGCCACCTCACAGAGGAGAACGCCTGGAGCAAATGGTTTGCCTGCAAAGAAGGGAGACTGAGCAACCAGTGTGCAGCCCCTACCAACAAGAGAAAGGAAGGAAGAACGAGAAGGGCAGCCAAGATAAGACTCCGAAAAGGTGAACACTGCTCTCCTGATGGCTCTGCAGTTTCTGTAGGCTCATTCCAGAGAGATTTCTGTAGACAGAGTCCATTTGACCAAAAGGCTGACCAGGAGGCTTTGCTCCTGAGACTTTCCTATGAAACGATGACTTGGGACACAGTCAACCACCTTGAATGAAAGCAGGTTGGGTTATAAAATTCCACTCATGGGAAAAACACAAGAAAATAAGGTAGAACTTAAAGATTTAAGTTTTTCTTATCTGTAAAACAGCCGTACTGTTTCCAGAAGCTGCCCCACACACTTTCCGCCTTTGGCCTGACAACACTGGTATTTAACTGCTTAAAAGTCAAGAACTATTTTGTTGACAGAAATAACTGGCTCTTCACTTAGCAATTCAGAGGTAGTATGACTGAAATTCCACTTAGGAATTATTTCCCTTTCGAATTACTAAGAAAGTATCTATAATCCTATACTCTAGGGAAAACACACTGAAGTTTAGAAAGATAGATTTTTATTGTTCTATGACAGCGTATTTAAATCCAAGTAGAAATGCGACTGAAGAGCATCTTCTCTACTTTCTGCATCTCTAAATTCCTCTAACTCTTTGCTCTCAGTTGATTTAACTGACCCCTATTGACCTCAGGGGGGGGGGGGGGGGAAGACTCCATGCAAGCTACACTAGAAGAACAAATTCTCCATATCCTTCAATATGAATACCCGAGTGGTTTGTTTTCACTTCTCAAATTATTTTTTTTTAATGTGAAACAGTTTTTGAAGACCACTTATCAAGCACAATCATATTAAATAGAAATTCATGTGAACAAAACTTATTTACAAAAATATACACCCCAAAGGTAAACAACCTTTTAAGGGAAATTTTGTAACTTAATCTTTGAAAGAATTAAGATTCAATCACAAAATCCCTCTGGATGAAAAAAGAAATTCAAAGGCGATGACGGAAGAGCCAAAAATTTTTCCAGAAACAGTTTTTAGAAACCCTAAATAAAACCTTTTTAATGGAAATCCCATAATAATAAAACTTAATATTTATGAGACTAATAATACAACTCTACTGTGGCTAAAAGTAAGTGAAAATTATGATCCTTTAAGATCTTTAGGTTGTCATGGTTTAATTTCTTTGTGTTATACCATTATGCTTCCTAAGCCTATGCTCTAGAAGCAGAACTTTCCTATAATATTTCACAAAGTTCACGCAGGAAAAAAAATTAGTTGGCTCATTATCCAATATTAAATTGCACCATTCATACCAAGAAATAAAGAACCGACACAGAATATTTTTTTTTGTAAGCAATATGTATAAGACAAAGTTATGTTACAGAGGATATAATATCCATACAATATAAATGCTCCCACAACCTATATAAGTATTCTGATTTATTCTCCGCCACAACGAAAAAAAAAAAAGTATATTCAATGAAACCAATTTATAAGCACAAAACTGAAACAGTCAGAAAAGGGTGGGTAATTTTTAAAACACAACTAACCACAAGAATTTAGCTAGGTTTTGACAATACATGAATACATTAAAAATTCCAAGCTACTGAAAACATTTATTTTCTCTACAAGCTCTCACGTTATCACTGTTGATCAGATTCAGAGAACCTCTCTTATGATACCTGGCCCATTCAGTATGGGGTTTTCTTGCACTGTACTGTTACTTGTACTATCTTTGTAAAAATCCAATACTGGCTATTAAGTGGGATATTAAACCAAGTAGAAAAAAAACTGTGTTGTCTCACCCAATACTGAAAATTACTAATATAAAGGTGTAATTGTTAACTCCGCATTTATCTTAGAAAATTGCAAAAAATCCCAGGAATTCTAGAAAATATACAAGTCCTCTTAAATTACTCTTAAAATCTCCAAGAAATATCTGAAATTCTTGATTTCCTCCCAAGTTATTTCCATTTAATCCTTACCAAAAGTAATGTACATAAGCAATAAACAGACCTTTCACTTTTATCTTCTATTTCACTTGGTGAAATGACACTTGGTCACAATAGTCTCAAGTGTCATTTAGGATTAGCACTCATTCTGCAGTTACACAAAACAATCAAAACCAATCTAAATTACATCATAATTCCTCTTTGGAAAAACAGGTTTAAGCAACATGAGTAACATCTTCTGGGTTGCGTTTGGTTGTTTTGTTTAAAAAACAAACAAAGAAATGCTCTTGATATCATAGCTAGAAATTGAACACTAAAATTGTTGAAAACCTCAATGTTGCCTTTCCTGAAACTGGCCTACAACGTTGGTGTGAAGAGTCAAGGCAGGTATAGGAGGTGCTAGAAGCAGATACTTATATCTTCTTTAAAATAAAAAAAAAGTTTGGAATAATAATTTTATTCCACTTAAACTCACCAGTAGTGTGAAATTCCAGAAAATAGTTTTTCTTCATCAATACGTTTAGCAATTTGCTTATTTCTTGCACATCTGTTCATTTTCTAAACATCTAATTCTTTTTTGGTGGTCTCTACAAAGTATTTACAAAGATTTGATCCTTTGTGCCTTTCTCTCACCAACACTTCTGTACTAAGGAAAAGGTCCTTTGTTTCACCAAGTTTGAATAGCAGAAAATGAAAAGATGAGTTAGTGACCTTTTGGCCAAGCGTATATCCAGACAATTTTGTTATTTAAGAAATATTTAATACCTTTGGGTTTTTTTTTCCCCAAATGAATTTTTGACGATCTCGTGGCTCATTCAAGAATACTTTGTTATGTTGCTTAACAGTCTCACCTTTCCTCACACACATACGCCTCTGCTTTCAGTAATTTTAAATTTGATAACCTCTAAGCTTGATAAACCCATTATACATGCTAAACACTAATGAACCATACAAAATATCTTATAAATAAACCAAAAATTAATACTAGCAGTGCACAAGAAAGAAGAGAAAGGATGAGGATCATTGTCCAATGACACAGTGAGAAGCTCTCAATATTGTGACAGCATCTAAAAGCTTTAGTTAAGAATTCCTGCAAGCGTTTACTATGAATAAACACAAGCTCGCCAAATTATATTGCCCTTTCTGAAAGGATCAACACAAACCAATCAAACCGTTAAGCTGCAGCAGACAACTGTAAAATGATCTTTAAATTGGGAGCACTACATCAAAGAGGACACAGGTCTGATTCAAGCAGAAGAGACTGCAGGACGGAATACACAGTGCTGGACACCGGCATTAACAGAATAGGCTAAAGCATTTTTGGCATCCTAGCAAGCCTAATTAAGGCTACATTAAGTACATTGTGGTATAACTTTTTAAGGTATACAAAGACCTTCCACAGATAGTCTTTGAACTGCACAGATACATACGCCTAAACTAGCAAGTAAGAACTCATACAGATGCCTCATCATCTAGCTGTTCTACTCAGAAGCAACATTTTGCATCTAGAACTTAAAAAAAGTCATTTTAAGTAATCAAATAATTTTATTATTAACACAACTATTTTGGAGCACTG